AAAAAAATGGATACGTTTTTCATCACATCGTAACAATAGAATATTTTTATATATCTAAAAATTCATAATAATTAAATGTGAAAATTGGTCGTAATCTATTTTTCAGGCATAGAATTTTCTAAAAATTGGTCATAATCTATTTTTCATGCATAGAGCTTTTGCCAAATATTTCAATTTCATATTCAATTTATTAACATGGCAAGATGCTGAGTTTGGGGAAAAATTAAAAGCCTGAGAAGTTAATGTAAAAAATAAGAACTTCTTTGAGACTCATTCTCAGCAAATTACATAATAATATGCATGATGTTAAAGTTATAAAATAAATAAATAAATATTAAATAAATAAACAAAATTTTTTACATACCTTTACAGTCCTTTAGAGATGTTTATAGCATCATTGAGCATAACGAATTCAGTATCAATACCTGCACAATAATAAACAAATAAAAATATTTATGAGAATAGACAAATCAACAAAAAAAAAACTCTAAAAGATATCAAACACAAATAAACAAAAATAATAATAAACAATGCATATACACTTTCTCTCACCTCTCTCAATTAATATCTTACTATATATCATGTAATTTCCACTTGGTCTACTGTAAGATATTTACTTAGATTTTAATTGATTGTATCTCCCTATGATTTTGGCTATCAATGTGGCTCTATCTATCCATGTCTCTCTCGTCCCTCTCACTCTCCTTTCCTAAATAAACATATAAATTCTCTAAAAAAGAGTTTTCTCCCTCCCTCCCTAAATATGGGGAATGAAGATGGAAGCCAATCTATCTCCATGATTTTCTCTCTGTCACTCTCTCTCTTAATTTCCTCTCTACGGATTCTTTCTCCAATCTATGTCCTTTCCAAGTCTATCTCTTAAAAATACATCTCTCTCCCTTAAGTCAACTATCTTATAACCTATATAGTATTAGAGTCTCTTCTTATTCTTGCAACATGTGTCCACCCTTTAACTCTTGCTTAATAATGTAGTATAGATATTACAGACACATATATGACTAGGCAAATTTTTAAATTGTACTATATATTTCATAATATTACCATTTGTTATAATATCACAAACATTTTTCAAACTATCAGGGTTAGCTTCATTGAGCTTTAGATTGTGGGCCATAGCCAAAGAAATCAGCTGAAGCGAAGTGAATCTTATCAAATTGGTTGTATCGCCTTCTTTTCTTCACTGTATATTGAAAGCCATGTGTCCACCCTTTAACTCTTGCTTAATAATGTAGTATAGATATTACACACACATATATGACTAGGCAAATTTTTAAATTGTACTATATATTTCATAATATTACCATTTGTTATAATATCACAAACATTTTTCAAACTATCAGGGTTAGCTTCACTGAGCTTTAGATTGTGGGCCATAGCCAAAGAAATCAGCTGAAGCGAAGTGAATCTCATCACATTGGTCGTATCGCCTTCTTTTCTTTACTCTATATTGAAGCCATGTCTTTGGTTGATGAGGTGGCTTGTTTGTGCCTTTTTGAAGGGTTTTGTGCAAGTCAGATAAGGGAGATTGTTTTCAGATTTCAGATGGTTTGATTTTATGCTATTCTTACCTAGTTCAAGACAATATTTTGAGGGAAATCCGAAGATGCTATGACTTTGTCAACACTGAAATCAAATTGAGCAAGGGTTCTATCCTTTGCACTAGGTGCAAGCTTCTAGAGTTAAGGAACTAACAAATACATTGGGTGGTTTGAGTAAGTGAAATACCCAATTGATTGTGTGGTTCTCATTTGTCATTTTTGCATCGCAACTTGAGTAAAGCTCTGGGTTTTAGGACCAGGATTGTCAAGGGAAGTCATACTAAAGGGGCCGTCACTTGGTGTGACGGTAAAAGACTCAGGTAGCCAGCGCAAGAGCGCTAGTTCGAGTCCTGAGAGCAGCCAATTTGTGTATAAAAAGCCAAAGATTAGGACCGTTTCCAGCTCACCCCTCCCGGGACCTTGTGTAGGCAGGACCAGCACTGGGTTATGGCCCCCTTTTATTGTGAAGGAAGTCATACTATGGAAGAGTCACTTTGTGCCTCATGCTAAGTTCTTACTAAAGTGGCTAATAAATTAGAAACTCTGCGTGACTTCTTGTGCAGAGAGGCATTTCTTGTGCTGAGGAGGGACTCTTGTTATAGCCTTTGGTTTGCGTGGTCGTGGAGGTTTGAATTGGGGATTCGATGTGTTTAAATTAATGTTCTCTTAGGTAGAGGAAGCATACCGTGTTGTGTTTAATGAAATTTAGACAAAATTTTTCATGTTGGACCTTGAATACCATGAAGTTGTGACATAAAATTATTATTCAATGATGTTATTGTATCTTCAAAATATCTACAAATCGTTATTTTATTTTATGTCATTTATACATGTCTGGTTTTCTCACTTTGTTTTTTTAGCAAAACCCAAAACTTTCATTATTTTTCTTTCTCAAAAAAGAAACTGTCATTATTTTTTAACTTGCCTAATTCCTAGGCAATCTGTATTTATGTCCTACTTTTTGCCTATCTTTTTGGACCAAAACTGATTTGTTACCACTTTTTTGGTCTGCCAATATATTTTTATTCCCCAACTTGATAACTACAGGTCTAGCCAGATGTGTGGGGCATGATAGGCATTTCTCTAAGAGGTCATATAAACAAAAGAGGTACTTGCCCTAAAAGGTCATACTTAAGGGCATAGTTTTAGTTTGGAGTGTGGAAGTAGTGTAAGCTTCTTGTCATATATTTACCTATTTGAGGAATTGCATGTTGAGGAGAGAGGATACGGTGATAAGAGGGCCTTAGATATTGTGGTGATCGAAGTCTTTGGGAGTTCGTGGCTTTGCATTTGATGCAAAATCATTGCTAAGGTGTTGCTGATAAGTGATAATGTAGGTCCTTTTTCCCATTGGCTCCTTTTTCAGAGTTACTCAAGGGTGGTGAGATACTCTAGGACTAAGGACACCTTATTGGGGCCATTCACTCAATATTGGACCATCTTTACTTGCGTTTCATCTATATGAGCATGATTTGGGATTTCTTTTTAGACCTTTTATTTGAGGTTTGGTGGTTGATGGTGGACCAAAGTAGAGGTGGTTTACCATATACCATATGCCTGTGGTGTATGGTGAAGTGGTATACCTGATAGAGATATTTTTTTGATACTATTAACATTGTATTGAAAGGAAGGGGAATACAAAGGGTTCCCCGAAGGGTAAAGTCACTGAGAGAGCTGACAAAAGAAAAGGAGAAAAAAAAATGCAAATACATAGAGCCTGTAGGCACACTAAATGAAAACCCAAAACTCCACAAGGGGAATCTAATACAAGATAAAACCAAAAAACGACAAAATAAAAGGGACATCATGATCCATCATGGCAAAGCAGCTCCTTGTCTGGCTAGAACGTGAGCTATCAGGTTGTATTATGAATTTCATTAAACGTGTGCCACAATCTCCAAGGGGATTGAGAGAATCTAGATGCCCAGTGAATAACATTTTTGGAGTCCCCTTCGAGTAGAACCCGGTCCTCGGCCTCCGTGGGGTCTGCTCTTCCTATGGAGGAGGAGAAGGAGAGAACCTGTTACCACTTATCTTTCATATCTACAACCCCTTTGATTTTGGGAATAAGAGCAATGAAGGTGGCATTCATTCCCTTGTTGATATTACCCCATTCGAAAAATTTGTTAAAGAAGGCTAAGACATCTAGGCACAAAATCTCACAATGGCGGGTGAAGAAAGCCACTAGGAATATGTAGGGCTGGGGGCTCGATCCCGACCAAGTTCCTTGATCTTACGGAGGATCTCGGTCTTCAAAAAAGAACATGCGAGCCCCAGTGTTTTAAATAGCGAACCGCCTAGCGCCTGCGGCGGCGGCCGGTTCAGAAGGCCAAGGTGCATCTCCCAAGCCTAGGCGGCCAAATTAGGCGGATATCCCTGGGTGCTCGGGAACCTGCCTAGGTGCCTGCCTGAAGCCACCTAAGCGCCTACCCAGGCGGCTGCCCAGGGCCTGCTTCGCGCCCAGGGCTGAAAATGCGGCTCTTTGAGAGTATTTTTGGGTCATTTTTCTATTACTAAAAGGGAAAATTGTGCGTTTTAGATTCATTTGAAACCTAAAACCCATTAGAGGCTATTTTAGAGAGAAAAAACCCAACAAAAAAAAAAAAAATCTACTGGGCCACTCAGGTTCTTGGCGTTCAACTAGGCGTTGGGCATCCCAGACCCCCCGCCGACCGCCTAGGTGTCACCTAGCACTTTTTGAAACACTGGCGAGCCCCCTGGCTTGGTTAGAGGTGATGGTGAGGAAAGAGAGGTCAGACATCTGAGGTTTGGACCAAGAGAGGGCCATGAACAACTATGTGAAATAATCGATAATGGTGTCTTCGATGACACACGGTTCCTCTAGGGTAACCCCTTGATGTTGGATTCAGCTAATGGAGTTACCCCTTGTTCTGCAATTTGCGATCCTATGGAAGAATGCCGTATTGAGATCCTTGCAGTTGAGCCATTGCAGTCTGGACCTTTGTGCCCAGAAAATTTCTTCTTTCCTGAGCAAGGATTTCAAATCGCTTTGGGCCTTAGTGCGAAGGAGCGCCTCCTGATGGGACAAGGAGTGGGTGTCCTCAAGGTGCTCAAACTCAAGAATAGAGTCTAGGAGCGAATATTTGAGGTCTCAAAAATGGCTGGGAGAAGACTACACCAGGATTTAAAAGACCCTGTGAGGAGAGAGAGCTTCTTTTGTAGCCTTAAACCAGCCCAGCCTAGGGCCAGGGGTGAGTAGGAAGCCCACCAAGACTTCAACTCTGTACCAAAGTTGGGTTCTTCCATCCAGCAAAGTTCGAAGGGGAAGGGTTTGGGAGCCCCGATAATAGGGCAGGTGTCGAGAAGAATGGGTTTGTGGTCCAACACAGTTCTATGTAAGGCAGAGAAGGTGCCCTGGTAGGATTGAGATATTATAATGTTAGCATTAATGGCTTCTTTTTGTTTATTGGTGGATGGCAGATGCTTCGCGAAATGGTGTTGCCCAAGAAGCAGTAACGAACACAATTCGAAGAGCTGGTACAATGACTGAGCTCGAAGCAAGGCAGATTTTGGGGGTGACCGAGAACACCTCATGGGAGGAGGTCTTGAAGGTTAGTTGCTCTAGTTACATTTTCCTTTGCTTATAAAGAATAATAGTCGACATGCATGTTTTTGTGTGTGTGTGTGTATGTGTGTGTGCACGATGTGTGTGTGTGCGATGTGTGTGTGAGAGAGAGAGAGAGAGTGTCTTTTAGACGACTGGGAGATTTTTTTATATTGTTTTGATTTTTCAGTAAAATTGTGCACGAGCATTAGCCTGCACTTTGTCAATTCTAATTTGCAATTGCAATATCAGTAATATGATGTCAGTAAAAATGGAGCTTTGTTGCAGAAATATGACGCGTTATTTGAGAGGAATGCAAAAAGTGGGAGTTTCTACCTTCAATCCAAAGTCCATAAAGCAAAGGAGTACCTAGAAGTTGTTTACCAAACAAAAGGAGGGGCACAAACTGGCTGATTGCCTTTTGCGTTTTTGTTATGTATTCGTACTCCCTCAATCCCATATCAAAAGGTCACTGTATTTTGGATGATATTGTTATCTTGATCTAGGTCTGATATTGTTATCTTACTTTTGATCAAGGTCAAGTGAGCTGTGTATATATTCAGGTTTGTTATGCCATAACAAACCTGAATATTGTCTCGAAGTCAGTCAGAGGGGCTTGGTCCTGTTTTCACATTGGATCTTGATCTTATTTACGAGTCTGCTGTGTGGCTGTGTTGTTTTTGGCCATTGTTATTTAAAGCTTGACCGACTTGGAGTTTGGAGTTTAAATGGAGTAAGAAGCAGCAACATGAAAGGTTTTTGGGTGTAATGGGTTTTCTCATTGATTCTTTACATGTATGGCACATCTAACTGTATTAGATGTAAACATAACTTTCCCTATTAATGAACAACTATCAAGTAATAGTAAGGAAAAAAAAAAAATAGACAGGTGCAGGAGTTGATCTTTGGATGGCATGAAAAAGATTACTTTGTGTTGGTGAAGGAAGACTTGAGATCAGTTGATTACCAAAAGGATATGGTTTAGTGACCTTCCCGGTGGAAAATTTTACAGGTCTTAGTTATATCAACCACCATGATCATAAATATAAAAAAATTTGAATTTTGACCTTTGAAAATAATTTATTTTGTATTTTCATGAATTTGTTTTAGTTTTTCAAAGATCATAAGATGTGCACTACTTTTGAAGCGTAGATCATGGGTCCGCTAACAAAAAATGGATCACAGAGGATTGAGATGTGTTTTAAGTCCGAACTCAAAAGATTCCCAATCTGAAATTAGGATTGGCAAGGGACTCGGACCCAGACTCGATTGAGATTTATCGGGTATACCAGACATGGGTCCGGGCATGGGTCCAAACCTTGGACCTGCAGCTAGGGTCCGGGCCCTTCATAATGGACCTGAAGATTATCGGGTGCGGGTCTAGATACTAGTGGACCCGTCCCATACCCAACTTGGGACCCGTTTCTCACCCCTTTTGAAACCTGCCATTCACATTACCTATGTTAATTTTTCAAAGTGTGATTAAAAGGTTTTCTCAATCTACAGAGTAATAACAATTCTCTCTCTTTCAACTCCTCCCACCTATTGAGAAGCATGTAGTGATAAAAAGAGCGAGAGGTCGTTGTCTATATACAGGAAGATTAGTGTCTAGGAAGATTAGTCCCCATCGATGGGATAGAAAAAAAAATAAGTGGATTGAGATCTGTCTAGGAAGATTAGTCCCACATCGATGGGATAGAAAAAAAATAAGTGGATTGAAATCTATAAAAACAGAGGCAGTATGGCGCTTGGGGCAATGATGCAATGAGTGAGGTAAAACCAATTCATGTCCATTGCTGGTTGAAAACTATTTTCAAACCCCCTTATTGGTTAGTGTCAGTTATGTGTCGGGGTATCGGGTCCAAAATTGGGAGGTATCGGGTCCAAAATTGCCCGTTGGGTACGGGTATGGGTACATTCAATTTGAACTGGTTGAATTTGGATTTGGGTTGGGATACATATAATTTATTTTGGGTCCAAGTTTGGGTCCAACTAGACTTGACTCGTTGCCGCCCCTATTTAGAATGCCAGGTATTAAATGCCTTATTGAACAATATGAAAGGAAAGGTGCACATGCATGGATAGAGGGAGAAATGAAAGCAGCTATATAAGAGAATGGGCGCAGGAGGGGTGGCAATGGACTCAGACCGGAGCTGGACCTGACGTCTTGGGTTCGGGTAATGGGTCCAAGAATTGGACCTAGTGGGTCAAGTCTAAGAATTGGACCTGTTCAGGTTTATGTGGACTCAACCCGGAGCCGTTTTGAATAGTATTATTATAGAAATAATATTAATATATATATATATATATATATATAACATTTAAATATATTTATTTATTTTTATTTAAAAATTTTGGGTTGGGTCTGGGTCCCATAATTTTTTTCAGGTCCGGGTCGGACTCGACCTCTATTGACCCGTTGCCGCCCCTAGAGGAATTCGTATGTTAAGAGAGAGGGGGAGAGAGTTGGGGGCAAGCAGGTGCGTAGAGTAGGGGGCAAGCAGGAGCTCTTCCTAACCCTTTGTGGTTGTGATGCGAAATGCATCGAATCGCGTGAGGCTAGACCGAGGGCTTCTGGTGTGGACACAATCTCGGCCTTAAGAGGCACACAAGCCTGCTCCGGGTGTGGCCTAGCTTAGAATGTTACAGCGGGTTTGGTCCAAGCCTGGTGCGAACCGGAACTGGGGCTATTAGCAGCTTGCATTCAGTCCAAGCCATGGCTAGCCCACAAGATGTTGAGACAGGCTCTGGCTTATTCTAGCTTAGACTATTCGGGCCTGGGCTTCACCATTGAAACTAAAGCGGATTCCAAGGCGGCAATGGCCCCGGCCTGTTGGCAACCCTAAGTTGACGTGGTTGGTGCCAGGTGCAAACTTCAAGAGGAAACAAAGGGAGATAATGACATGTTTGTTGGAATTTATTGGTTAATATATTCTACTTTATCAAAAGACAAAACTTCATGTTTAGTTTCACGCCATTATACTCATTTAAGGAAAATGTTTATATAAGAGTGAGGCCCCAATCATATTAAGGAATCACATTAAGGTGCGCATTAAAAATTCATTAAAAGAGATTGTTTTGATGCCCAAGAATCCTCAAATCGATCATCTTGACCTTAAGAACATGCGAAAATTGGATATCAAGCTTTAGAAATAGTGCATCTTAGAATACTCTTTTTGGATGGTCATTCTTCGTGATTTTCAAGTGTTCATAGATCTACTCAATCTATACTTTTTTTGAAGCTTTAAATTTAAATTAGAGATGAAAATAAAATTTCAAGCTATCATAAAGATTTTTAGTAATGAAACATCTTTCAACATTATTTGTAGGTGTGCCTTACTTTGATTGTTTAGGGCCTAGGCCCCATACAAACTACAACACCATAAGTAATATCCATTCTAAATCCCTAGAGAATTAGAGATAATGACAATAATCAATTAAGGTGGGGAGAAATACCAATTCAAAATCTAGAGATACAATAATGACTAATCAAACAAGGAAGGCAAAAAAATATCTATTAAAATGTAGAGTGAAAATGACAATAATCCAATAAAGGATGGGGCAAATGTAGAGGGAAAACCAAAGCTCAAGCGTAACATCCACAACCCAACCTACCTACCTAACTTCTCCCACCAATATGACTCCTCCATTGCAACTGACGTTAGATCTATTTCCCTTTTAATATATTTTATGGTTTGCAATATGAAAATTTCAAAAGTTACACAAAATTTACTATTTCTAATACTAAATAGATTTAGGGTGTTTATCCTTGTCATTCCCGGAAGAAATATGGGACTGATATGTCTTATGGAGAAATGAAAGGAGATATTGGAGTTTTATTTGTATGTCTTTTGAGGAAGGACCAAGCTTTGTGCATATGTCCATACATATACATACATAATTTATGCGTTTAGAGATTGGCAATTATATGATCAAAATTAAAAAGGTTATAGGTGAGCCAACAATAATGTCGTAAATCAATATATGATCTTATAAAAATAGCTAATGCGAGTTCATGACATTTAAGCTGGTTACTCTAGTCATGTGATCAATTGTTGATCTCCAAATACAAATAAGTTATATTTGTGTGTAGACATGAGAATGTTTTCGTTAGTAAATCCGTATTTTAAAGGACCCCAGTAAAAATAAAAATTGAATCCTCAATAACTAAAACGTGACAAATGCCCTTGCAATTTATCAGTATCCAAAATCATTTTTTAAATGTAAGGGAAGCAAGATGCAGTTTCCAATCTTTGATAGCACAAAACCCTGCTCCAAAATGCAGTTCTGGTGCTATAAACCCAATGATAATCTAAAAATCTATTAATTCTCTTGATTATGAACTTGAAGCTCTGAAACTGATCCAAATCCTTCAAATCTGTAAACAATAGAAAATGAATAGTTCAAATAATATGTTACAAGATACAATATTTTGAGCTATTGAAATCCATTATGTCTCTATAACCATAAATGTCAATCTCAAGATGATCAATTTCATGATTTTCTGGCACTGGAACTACAGTTTTTGACCGGCTTTTAAAAGCCGTGGGGCTGCCAACCAATATCTTCTCTAAAATTAACTATCATGCGACTTTTTTTGGCTTTTATTTTTTTCCTTACAAGGAAGCATAGTGAAAGTTGTTTAAGTCTTAGGTATTTATATATCTATCCTTTTTGAGATATTGTTATTCTATGATCTTGAGAATAAAGATAAAAAGTCCTGTGCTCCTTTTCCAGACTTGTGACAGCCCATTGTATAGCTAAGCATGTGAGGGAAATGTGAGAACCTCTATGGATACTGCATTGACTTGTTCTTCAACAATTGTATTCTTAATTACCATTTTATTTAACAAAATTTATTATGTCCAGTACTGTGTCCCACTCTATCTTCTCACCATTCTATAATAATCTTTTCCACAGAGAGAGAGAGAGAGAATAATCACCATGGGTATGAAAAATCACCATTTTCTTTAGATTTTGGGGAGTGTGGGTTCACTATACAATTTTTTGTTGGTTATGTCATATTGTGGGCAAAAACTACTTCAAAAAAGTTTGTTTTTTTTTTCCTTTTTCTGTATGAATTTTTATGATCCCCATAGGAATTACAAGAAAAGTAATATCAAGAAAAAAGAAGAGGATTTCCGATTCTTGTCCCCTTAGATAACTCTCCAAAAATTGATGCTATGTATTTGTTCTTTTGATATGAATTTTTTCCAGGCTCATCTAGAATGCATTTGCAAAAAAATTATTTGTTAGATTTTTTTTTCCTTTGTACTGTTAGTATGTCATGTCCCCAAAATTTAAGGCTGCTAATAATACTCTTAATGAAAACTTTACATGAGAAATCCAATATACATTCTGCTCTTGCGGGAGCATGGAACCTCTTTTAATTTCAAAATATATGATTCACCTAACAACCTAGGAGTGGGTTACTTTGGATATTTATCTCAAAAGAGGGGTCTTTTTCCAGCAAATATAAATATAGGACCGTGCGGTCATTCTCCCTATTAATTTGGAAAGGGCCCAAATGATCAAATCTAACTACCCTTTATTTCAAATTACATGAGTGTCCTCAAAGGAGCTGGCGTTTCGAAACCAGGATCGGTGGGGCGTATCGTTTACCCACAAATCCCTGTCGGATTACTGTATAAGTGATCTAAGGGTCCAAGTTGGTGCCAAAAAAGTATTCAATATAAAATAAAACTGATGTTATGGGCAGTGCTTTAAAATAAATCTAAAAATATTAGATAAAATTAAAAAAATAAATAAAAAAGTTTAGAGAGAATCATGACCTATACCATCCCAAAACCGATATGGCCACATGATTATTTTCCATCTGAAAAGATGATCCGAATTAAGAAACTTTCAAGTTTTAAAACCCGGAACGAAACGACCCATTAATTACCCCATCTTTTTCTTCAACACGGTTGTAAACGAGTTGGATTTGAGTTAGTTGGACCCAAACCTATGTCAGATCAAGTTGAGTCCATTTCATAATAAAAAGGTATATTTTATATATTTTAAACATATAATCAATATATATATATATATATATATATATGAGATATATATATACATATATATATCGGATCAACCACTAAGAGCCGACTGAAGTTAAATGGAATCAGACTAAGATGTAATACCCGATTGGACCTTTCTTGTCATTGCGGAGAAAGAAGCGTGATCTTCCCCGAACTTTCTAGAGTTAGGGTGAGTCCCGTAATTTATTGTGGATCCGTGGGTGATTAAGAAAGCCTGTTTCCGAGAATGACGCTTTCGATCCGACCACGCTAAGGATTTTTAGGGTTTAAAAAGGGTTGAACAGAAAACGAGTTTTTTTGTCGGGAAGCCGCTTTTAACGGACAAAGAACGGCGTTATTTCCTCCTTACAAAATTTACCGATATCCCATCTAAAACTTGTTTCCAATAATAACAATTCATTTTTGCAATAGAAAATGGGGCTTTGAAATTATTTCATTTCCCCTGAATTGCCCAATAGTATTATCGTTGTTTTGGAAATTGATTGTATAGATTAAGAGGAGTAGGTTTTTATTTTTCGGATTCATTGTGTTGTGTTATTAGCTATAAAATTAAAATTTTATATTTTCTTTGGTTTTTATTCAAGGAAAATTATATGAGGTTTAGGTTCCACAATAAAAAAAGAAGTAAAGTCACATCTAAAAAATCTTCAATAATTTATAGTTTGATATCAAAAACTTTTAGATTGATCAACTCAACCTCAACAATCATATATACGAAAAATGGATTTCAAACTCTAACAAATGGCTTATAGCACATTCTGTACCATGGATTTTCAAGTATTCATACTTATAGAGCTTCAAGTTTTACAATAGGCTAAAACTAGGTTTCAGGACATTTATGGGTTTGACATTAGAACTATATTTTTGTGCCGGGTTTAGGGTATGAGATATTTAATATCGCTAATATCGCAGTTCAAAATCTCGCAAACAATTATTGATTCTAAACTATAAAGTTTATAACTGATCATCTCGGCTTCAAAAGTTATGTATCTAAAAAACAAAAAACTAAAAATAATATATCTTGTAGCACATCATTTGAAGTACTATCCACATATGAACTAGATATCTACTATATTTGGAGTTTCAAATTTTATGATTGAGCTCATAAACAAGTAACATGTCATCACGGAGAAATTCGGACTCGAATTGAAATTTTTTATAAGATTTGTGATGCGGCTGTGCTTTTGCCGATAAATATCAAACCTTATGCCAGAGCACAGTTTGTAAGCATAGGTGATCAAGGGGATGGGTGCACCAGAATGTTTTCAATTACTTCATTATTATAAAGTCCTAAGTTAACAAGTAGAGAGAGAAAGAGAGGGAGACCTAGTCTAGCCAGAGAGGCACCTTTAAATTTTTATTTTTATTTTAAATGAATAAATAATTGGGCCCACAACATGGGGGAGTGATGAATGGAATCTCTATAGAGAGAGAGAGTGAGAGCTCCCCTTTTAGTATAAAGAAAAAGGCAAATTTTGAACTTTCTATGCTCACAAGATGCTTTAGGAAACATATCCTTGATATATGAAAAAAAGGCAAATTTTGAATTTTGATTAAGCTCCCTTTGTGACATTTCTTATTAATTAAAATGATCTATTTCCTCTCTTTCGAGAAAATTTTATTGAATAATTATGATACCAACTTTGTTTTTGTGGGGTGAAATATTAGATTGATAAAAACAATATGCCCATATGATGAGTGTAGCTGAGATGACAATATTAAGATGGATGAGTGATAAGACTTAAAGAGATATAATTCAAAATGAATGCATTTGGGAGAACTTAAGTGTGACTCCAATAGACGATAAGATGAAAAAAAGTAGATTTAAGTGGGCTGAATCTGTGCAGATCTAATACAGTACCGGTTAGAAGGCTCGAGTTGGTTCAAGTGGAATGTTTAAATAAAGGCAACAAGTAGGCTTAAATGGACATGATTCAAAGTAGTGAGAGAAAATATATTGATTTGTGGTATCACTAAGGGTATGGATATTGATAGAGCCTAATAATTGAACAAAGATTCATGTAGCCAACTTTAGATAGTTAGAAAAAAGATCTAATGATAACGATGATCTACTTCCTCTCTCTCTCCCTTTAACATTTATCTCTAGTTTGTTTTCTTTTTTTGTAAATATATCTCTTTCTTACTAAGGCTAATTGCTCTGGTTATCTAATAAGATTAGAACTAACATCTCTCTCTCTTGCCCATAGCACTAAACACATTGAATACTAGTTACTTTAATGCTTGATATAAAATTTGCCATTTTGAACATGAATGGGAAATCTAGATTGGGATTGGTGGGGATATCAGAATAGAGAATTGATGACATTCACTTATTTAAAAAGATTTGTCAGGTTATGTCAAAGAATTGATCGAGTTTGTTATGAAATCATGCAATCCTGATTGACCGAATCATATAGTTTCCACCAATTTAGTTTTTTTTTTAAAATATTTTTATTGTTTAATATTTCAAAATATAAAAATATTATTTTAATATTATCCAAATATACAAGGAGAATAGCTGAACTTGATGGGAAATAGCCAATTATGTAATCACCCGGCTCACCAAGCCAATCCAAGGTTTTAAACACTTTGTGATAATATCTCCAACATCTTTATCTCGTTCTCCCCTAATACGTGATCCATGGTTTTAGATAGGGTTGGCAATGGGTCGGGTCCAGTTCGGGTGCGGCCAGACTTGGACTCGAAAAATAATATGGGACCCAAACCCAAACCCAAAAATATAGTGTGGGATCTGGACCTGGACCCAAACCGAATCCAAAATTTAAAATATCTATATATTTAATTATATTTAAATATATTTGATATATTAAAGCCTGAAAAAATGTTATCAGATCCAAACCCGACCCATCAAATCCAATTTTTTGACCGATACCCAGATTCTGATTGAATCTACTCCTCCGGTCCGACGTTCGAGTCTATTGCCACCATTGCTCCGGATCTTAATTCTGTTTCTCTCCTTTCATGTTAGGGATGTTATGGTCTTTTATGAAAGTACGAGGTACCCTTTGAGAATTCAAAAAAGTAACGGTATTCTGGAATTTCTACAATGCATCAGGGGTGTTTCGGTCTTTCTGGAAGAATCCCAGAAACGAAGGGTATGTCCGAAAGTTTAGAAATAAACAGGTCTTTTTCCTACAATTAATGTCAGTCCCATCGTTTGTCCTAAAAGGACAATCTCTCTCTCTCTACAAATTTTAGGACAATTCTCTCTCTAAATTATTCTCTCTTTTTTTTTTTTTTTTACAGTCATTACAATATCCCTCTAAGCTTGAGGTTTGCAAATTAATGGTCTTTCTCTCTCTTAATGTTTTTCCATTTTTTTGTAGTGTCCTAATTTCAAGTTTTTCTTTCTAAAGTCCACAGCTAAGGAAGACCTTTCTCTCTCTTCTTTATCAATGATATTCCCTCTCTTAATATTTTCCATTTGTTTTACAGTGTCCTATTTTCAAGTTTCTCTCTCTAAAGTCCACAGCTAAGGTAGACCTTTCTCCTTCTCTCTTCTTTTCAACCTTCGGCCCCTTTTTATTGCTGTTGTCCATTTTTCTCTAAGTTTACGGTGCTACCTTACAAGAGTTTCTCTCTCTAAAATTCCGATTTATGCGAGGAAAGACCCTATTTACCCACAAATGATTTGTGGGTTCAGACGAGACCTTCGGGATCCAAAGGGTTATATTTGTCCAAGCCCCGCATAATTTGGTCTCCTCATAGATCTCTGCCATCTCTCTCTCTCGCCCCCACGTTTCTTTCCCTTCCGAACCAGCTTCACAGGTGAGATTCTCTGTTCTTTCTCTCTCATCTATGGGGTTCTGAGCTGTGTATTCCTTTTGGATCCATAGAGTTCGTGGGGCTTTTGTTTCATGGATTGAGCTTTAGGATCGCATATATGAATTGGGTTTTGGGCCCCTTTCTTGCATGGACTGAGCTTTATTATTCGATATATGAATTGGGTTTTCCTGCTTCTGATTTTATTGGGTAAGCCATGAGTGGATTTTGCTTGATTTGAATCAAAATTGGAGATTTTGTTGTTGTAGCATGATTTGTATATTTGCTTTATGGTTAGCTTCTTATGGCTATAGGTATTGTTTCATTTTGATTTTCCTTAATTTTGTTTTCGTCTTTGATTTGTATGAATTGACTTTGTCTTGGAGGAATTTTATTTCTGCATTTTAAGGTTCTTATATATGATTGAGTTAGCTGATTACGGTGTTTATTTTTCTTTTTCCTTTTTCATTTCTTTGACTAGTGGTTTGGGCCTTGGAGCTAGTTTTTTTAATTGGGTTTAGCGTTTGATATGAAATTTCTGTTGATTTATTTCATTGTCAAGATAAATTCCTATTTGTGCAGTTTGTGTATCGATTTAGCTGCTCATTGGCATATATTGTAGTATCAATTTGGCTTATTATTGTTACTGATCTTTCTTTGTATACATGGGAACTTGTGGGTAGCCATGGGAATCTGTTTTCTTATTTTGTTTGTTTGGAAACTAGGTTGTATATCTGAATTGGGTTTAGTTTAGTTGAAATTACTTATTTTCATGATTTAGTTTTACCAACTGTCGTTGTAATTCTTGTTTAGCTTTGGCTGCTTCGGGGTTGTCTTCATAGATCTTCCCATTTTTCACTTCGATTGACCCGTTCTTCAATTACTAAATCTTTGTTTATCATTGGAATTCAGGTATTCGGTTTTTCATCGGATATTTAGTTCAATTGGTTTGGATCTATATGTTCTGCTTAAGCAATCGTGGTTAATCATTTAATTGTTGGCCCAATCGATACTCACATTCCTTTAATTTGTTGTATGTTACACATTTTGATCCTAACAAGATGATTTCTAAATAGATTCAAGATTTTTTTTCTTTTCCTTTTATCTGTGTTGGTTTACTTGGATTCGGACAATGGATTTTAATGCTGAGAACCTGTTGCTTGTATGTCCTAACCCACAGCCCTAGAGGCTAGACCCCAATAGAGATAATACAAATTTAGGTTGGGTTTCTGAACTAGATTTTAGAGTTTTGAAACAGCTAAGGAAACATAAATTTAGGTTGGTTTCTCCTTTGGAATTGAACAGAACTGTTGGGAAAATTTCACTGATTTAGTCACCTAGGTGTTCGTGGTATGCTTCCATTGTCTGATATCATATATTCCTCGCTTGCAATTTGAGGTTCAACTGTCACTTGGCTCAATTCTTATTGTGATGGCAGTTTTGCCTCTTTTTCTTGATAGTGGGATGTTTCACACTTTTTCTGTTGTTTTGATAAAATGGGATAGTATCATAATATTCTTAGGTAGCGGATGCCACCTCCCATACAAAGTCTACTTTCTTATTCTTATCAGGCTCATTCATCAACTATCATGGGCTTTCTTCTGGATGCAATTTATATAAGTTCCATTGCCGAATTTGTTTTCAGGGAATTTTAGTTTTTGCCTTTCAGCTTTATAATGATATGACTTGGTTCTCAGATGATTCTTGTTGAGAACCCATTACTAAAAAAGACTTTTTGTTGGGAATCACATTCTAGATTACCTACTTTTAGCTTTGTTAAATTCTTTAACTATTCAAGGATATGTTCCTTTTGCTAGGAAGTGATGCCCTTTGATTGCCAAGTAATGCTTTTAATAATATCTTGGAGTTCTTTTTGCTATGAGGGAAGGAGGGAAGGCATCTTTGTAGTTTGTGCATTCTTTTGAACAAATATGTACCCTAGATGAAAGAGGGAGAGATTCTTTTGTAGTTTATACATTCTTTATTTTAACAACTATGTATCCTAGTTGATTATCTGCCTCATTAATCTTTCTATATATGACTCCTTTTTTTAACCTGTGCGTTGTTTCTTTTTTATGGTAAGTTTTTTATCCTTTTAAATTTTCTTTTCCCCTTTTGGGTAAGGTTATGGATTGAATGTACTGTATAAATTCTTGCTCTTGATTTTTACAATGCATATATGTACAGAATTTATTATTCGAACACATCGGGAGGTGCATAAGACAATCAACTTGAAGTGTACTGGTGCTTTTCTTTTCTAAGACAATGAAAAAGGTGTTCGATCAAACTGTTAGGGACCTGTAAGTTGTGCTTTCCTTAATGACTGTCCGTCTTGTGGCTTGTTCTAGTCTTGGTTTGTTAAGAGGCTGATTTTATGTAGCGCTCTCTCTCTCTCTCTCTGCCCCTTCTGTCTCTCTCTTCCCCTCTCACCCCTCTCTCTCTCTCCCCCCCTCTCACCCCTCTCACTCTCTCTTTCCCCCCCACTCTTCCCCCACTCTCTCCCTCTTTCGCTCGGCCTCCCCTCCTCGCCCAAGGGGCATTTGCTTTTTTTTCTCTGCTTGTCTTTAAATATTTTTGGCCAAATAGAGTTTTTACACGTCTAGTTGCTTTATGCATTTACTTGTTTGGACGCTTTTCTGTCTGCATTATTTTGGTTTTTTGAGTCTAGATTGGACAATCTCTGTAACTTTTACAATTTTCTGTTTAGACAAAGTAATGCACTGACTGATGATAGGGATTCTGCCTAACCAAATGACCCGCTTTGGTGAAAAATGATGGTCACCAATCATGTAATTTTATTGTCATAAAACTTGCAATAAGACCCAATGGTTTGTGTTATTTAATAAGTGTTGCCTGTGACACTTTTTTATCTGGAATTTCTTTGAGGTGTGATTTTGTTGTTGTTAGTTCCGACTTCTATGTGTTAACCTGATATTTATACATTTATTTTCTTCTGCAGCAAGAGAGAGGTCAACAAAAAGGTTTTAAAAGTGCCTGGAATAGAGCAAAAGGTAGTGGTATCGTGATGTTGGGTCAGTGTCTTGAATTTGAATATTATAAACTGCTTCATGTGTTTTTTGTCTAAGCAAATATTCTTCTGTAGTATTAACACTCAGCTTCGGAGAACTAATGGACTTTAAGTGTTACATTATAATTTTTTTAGGCTTCCTGCTTAGACATTTAATTGGCAATCCTGGCCTGCAAAATTTTGTAGTTTTCTACGTTCACATAGTGATTATACAATGTGAGGTATGGATATGTAAGAGGAAATTGATAAGAAGTTCATGTGTGTCTCTGTTTTTCAGGTTCTTGATGCCACTAGCAATGAGGCTTGGGGACCCCATGGTTCTCATTTGGCAGATATTGCACAGGCAACTAGAAACTTGTAAGTACTTATGTTTATATTAACATACATCATAGTCTAATAGACTTGAACAGTGATTGGATACTAATTGAAGTGGGGCCCATAGAGACATTGTCCTGGTCATTTAATCTCCAGCCATCCATCTTTGGGGGTGAACAGTGGATGTGGCATGTAGTGTCATATACCATAAATTCCACAATTTATTGCATTATGATATATGATTGCCATATTTATTTACTTCACACACTATGTTGTATTTTTTTACGTGACATGTACTGAAATAGTGTCTCTGCAGTAACGAATATCAGATGATCATGTCTGTTTTATGGAAGAGGATAAATGACACAGGCAAGAACTGGCGGCATGTCTACAAGGTATATACTTAAATAGTGATACATTATATGAAGCTATGATATTTGGGGGCCAGTTGTCATGAGGAACATGGACTTTTTTTAAATTTTTTAATCATTTTTGTGAACATTGAATATAATCCCATAAACCATGGAAAAACGATTGTCCACTGTGTTTGGCAATGCCCAAGGAAATGATGAATAGTAATGGACAGAATTTACCCCAATGTTTGTCTCTTTCACCTTCCATCATTTCATTGTACATTGATGACTCGAATGATATGGTTTTTTTATTGGCCATTAGATTATAATATATTTTCCCATTATGTTGTCCAAAGGTAGGCAATGGACCACTTGAGTCATCACTAATTGAGAATTGTTTCTCTTGCAACTTTTCAGGCATTGACTGTGCTAGAGTATCTAGTGGCGCATGGATCAGAACGTGTCATAGATGAAATCCGAGAACATGCATATCAGATTTCGGTATACATCCTTCACTATATCTTTTATAATTATCAATTATTGTAAGTCTCCACTGATATCCTTTGGGCATGTGACGAAGTTTTGGTGAAGCTTTACTGAAATCTCTGCTGAAACTCATGCCTTTGGGTTACATTTTAAATGGTGTATCATGGGGAACATTCTTTGGCCATTTTAATCTGAAGTTTGGTCGTAATTACATGTACATGAGATTGGGTATCTAATCAAACCAATCCAATGTGGATTGTGAAATTTTATATTGAGTATATAATCCAATTTTTCATGATTTGTTAAAAACATATACTAATTTTACTTTCCTATGTATACTTGGCTCGGTTTTCATTTTTTATTTTGGAACCCTTGGAGGGTTCTAGTAGAGGTTATAGGAAAATCCTAATTGCTTGTGGTACTGTAATATGATCTTGAGAATGCGATTCCTTTGTGATTGGGAATATTTTTATTTGTTCCTGCAGACATTGTCAGATTTCCAGTACATTGATTCTGGTGGGCGGGACCAGGGGAGCAATGTCAGAAAGAAATCCCAGAGTCTTGTTGTACTTGTAAATGATAAGGAAAGAATACAAGAAGTCAGACAGAAAGCTTTTTCTAACAGGGACAAGTAAGTTTACTTTACACTATTTGTAGACTGTTAAGGTACATCCTCTATGTTGATGAAGTTAGCTTGTGGAGTGAGCAAACTTTATTCCTCTTGAGCTGTATATAATTCAGGAGTACCGACTAAGGTTGTGATGAGCTTTGCTTTTGTGTCCCTTTGATTCTATAGATTTAGAGGTGCAGCATCAACTGGTGGAATGTATCGGCCAAGTTCCTACTCAAGTACAGGAGGGGGATACAATGACCGTTATGATGATGACCGTTATGAGGGGCGTCATGGAAGCAGAGATGAAGATCGCAATGGTAGTGTTAGAGAGAGAGAGTCGGGTTACAAGGATGATGACCGCTCATATGGTCGAGATGGGGATCGCTACAATAAGGATGGCGACGATCGTTATAGTAGAGATGGGTATAGAGATGATGACTATAGAGGGAGTCGGGGTAATGATGGTTTTCAATTTAGGTCAAGGAGTCGCAGTTCTGACAGAGAGAGAGATCGTCCTTATGAAGATGATGACCGCTATTCTACGAGGTACACTATTTGTATTTTCTCTTTTTATAATGGAAAATCTAATGCGTAAGTGCACTATAATGCAATGTACCATGCAAGTAAGTTCATTGGGGTCATCACTGTGTTATGGAGAGATTGTGGTACCCACCAGTCGTGTAATTTATAAAACACAATGTATTTTGATTTATGGAACTCATTAAATTCCTCTTATTTATTTGTTTATTTTTTGAACTTTTATTGTTTTGTTATGGTGGATTAAGCATTGTTTAACATTGCGAATGAGTTTGCTACTCTTTATGTCAATAGTGTGGTACTGTGATCTTTCAACATGATGTTTATCTCTTGCATGTTTGTTGTTGCAGAAGTGGAGGAAGAGTTGATGAGTATTCTCAGGATGAAAGGTGTGTGTGTGTGTGTGTGTGTGAGAGAGAGAGAGAGAGAGAGAGAGAGAGAGAGTGTT